GGCCACAATTAACTCTCAAAATGGAATAAAACTGTCCGAATTATACACAAAAAATCAAAACATAACTCCTCTTCCTCGTACCAACCCGTCCCCTGTAACGCCGGTGCCGGCCACCCTCCTCCGCCCTAGCCCCACCGTCCCTCCGCCGCCCGCCGCCGGCAGGAAATAGCCGCCGCCGCCGGCGAAGCTCCGATGACCACCAAAATTACACCCTGGAACCACTGTCTCCTCCTCTTTCCAAATCCCCAAATATCATCCCTCAATTCCTAGCCAAACCTCTCGAATATTGGATCGAATTTTCCGGCCATGACACAACCTTGTCCAAACCACCCCAAATTAACACTACTCAACCGCCATCACCTCCTCTTTCAAACCCCTTAAGCCTCGCCCTTCAAATCCGACCAGAACATCTCAAATATCGGATTGAATTTTCCGGCTAAAACCCAAAGTATGCCAAATTATCCCAAATTGATACCCTAGGTTCATCTGAGTCTCCTCTATCCAACCCCCATAGCCATTAGTCTCGAATCTGCCCGGAACGTTACGAATTTTAAATCTCAATTCCGGTAGAACCCTAGCTCAGAAAATCTTGGGGATTTTAGATCGTAATTTCCTTAATCATGTGTGTTCTTTTGAAAACACACGATTAGGGATGTTACGTGTCAAGAATCCCGGAGGATTCAAACAAATGGCCGGTCAGAGTTCACCCACAGTCAGTCGAGTGCTCAAACTAAGTAAGTTTTCCTTGTTCTTCTTCGTTAGTCTCTTCTTCTTGACTGATATTTCCTCTTAATCAATCAATTTAGGGCTTGAGTTTATTTCTCCTCATTTTTCCGGTTGAACCAGTGTTCAAATAGGTTAGCCTGTCTCTTATTTGTTATTCTTCATTGTCTTTTAATCAATAGTGAGAATTGGGTCGTTTGTCAATTTAGTTGTGACTGAGTTCTTTAGAATTAGGATTGATCATGTTTAGGATTTAGTTTAAGTTTTGAATCTTCTCCAGGCTTCATGTATGGTTAAGTTTGTTCTATTAGTTGTGTGTGTCGAATCTGTTTGCTTACAGTTTTGATCGATACTATTTGAGTACTGTTTGATTTTTACTTGTTTTTAGTAGTTGTTAATCCGAAAAATCAGTAGTATTTGAATTTAGGATTTGCGGTTGGATTGGTGGGCTGGTTAATTTGCAGAAAATAGTTATTTGGACCAGAGTTAGTTAGAAAGTTTAGTGTAGTTAATGTAGGTTAGTAATTTCAGGAGGTTCAAAGGGTAGTTTAGGCATGGGAAAAGGGTACTTTCATCAGATTTGGTAATTTTTGAAGGGGGGTAAGGATAGAATAGGGATTGTAATAAGCATAGAACTTTCTAGGAGGGACTATAGTGTAGGTTCTAATAAACTTAAGTTAGTTGCTTGTGTAACAAGTCAGAAATAATGGGGTAAACACTGAAATTAGGATAGGGACTAAGGGGGTAAAAGGAAAATCTGAAATTGGACCCTAAGTTCATCTATAAAGAGGCATTCATTTGCCTTGAAAAAGGGGAAGTCTGGTGGGCAGTCCTCTAAACCCCTTCCAGAAGGCATAAAAACAGAGTTTCTAAAAGTCATAAAATTCCTTCAAAACAATACTGATCATAGCATTGAGATCAGAAATAAATTGGTTGTCGAGTATACTATTCCATATGTGGAAGCAGCCGCCAAAAGAGTTGTTAAGGTCTATTTGAATTGCTATAAATTGAATCTGAGTAATCGACTTGGTTTTGGATTGCATTGGTGCTTGAAATTGTTAGTGTTTTGGGTTCATTGCTGGAGTTTCAAACATGTTCCTGAACTTGCTGTGTTGATTGAGTTATTACTGGATTTCAACTTCTTCCTGGGCTGCTGTTGCAAACTGTCACTGCTACTGATCTTTTCCTCTTTCTTATTTGCAATTACCAGGTACACATTTGAACCCGTCCTGCTGTAACTTTAAGCTTGAAATGGAATGCAAATATTCACCTGTTTGATCTCGAATTATGCTGCCTGGACTATGGTATATTGATAGTTAAATAGGCGTTAGATTTAAGTGCACAGCATAGTGTCAATTCAATTTTGTACATGTGTAAACCCTGGACTGTATAAGTAGACTGTTTGGCTGAATTGTTTAGGACTGTTTTAAATTTGTGGCCAGTCGAACTAGCTCAGTGTACTCCTATGAGCATGTGAATTCTGCAGTTAGTATTTTTAGTTTGGTTTAGCTTGTGTTGCTAGTGTAGAGTAGCTCGAATTCATGTAATGACCGTTTATTAAACTTGAAGCCAGAGCTGAAATCAAAATGGGGGCCATGTCAGTGTTTAACGTTAGTGTTGGCCTAATAGGTTGAATTCGAAATTAGGCGTTTTTTCATGTGTACTGTATCCTGGGTTATGACCTCAACATAAGTATAATTTGGCTTCGTCAATTTGTGGAATTCCATGGGT